CTTTTCTGAAGTACACAGTAAACTCCATAGTTTTGAAAGAAAATAGTGTGGGTGTGCGCAGGTGCAAAGATGCATTCAGGGTGGGGCATGAGCAACCGGAGCGAAAATGGAGCGAGAGATAAGGCTCCGCTCCACCTTTTAAAAAAAATAGCCACTCCTCACTCAACATAAAATCCTTCCGCTCCCCGCTCAGCTCCGCTCCGCTCACATGCTCTGCTACAGACAGTTACCTCTTTTCATTTGTGAGTGTATTTATACCAAGGATGCAGATTAAGCCCAGTTTAGTTTACAAAATTCAAGACAACATGAGCTGAAACAGGCATCTACATGCAATGCGCTGTCCTACCATGTTCTAAAAACCTGCCAGTTCACACCAATGCAACTGGATGGTGTATCATCTCTATGCAACAACTCTCTGTACTTCCGCTCTGATTTCCAGCTTTTCAGGCTTGATTTGTGGCTGACTATAATTTGTAGCTTCTTAAAATATGAATGAGGATAGTGATAGTGCAGCAGCAGCAACCCACAATCCGACATTGGCACACCGTGAGGATGGAAACAGAGGGCTCGGACGGAACTCTTCGCAAATCGCTGGTCTGAACTTCACTTTAGGGTACAACTCCTATTTTGCCATCGCTGTTTGCAACAAGATAGCCAGCTAGCCACCTGAAGTCTCAACAGTTGTGTTAAGTGCAGCGGGTGCCCTCAGAATGTGCATGTCACAGCCAAGCCCGGTTCTAGGCAGGCACATATGAGGGGGCAGTCATAAATGTGAAGGGGGCATCATGCTCCAGCACATTTTTGCCATAGGTAGAGCTGACAAATAAAGGTCACTCACTCACTCACTCACTCACTCACTCACTCACTCACTCGCACGATGTGGGGACGCTGTGTGAATTCCCTATAGAGGGTGTCAAAGCACCGTGGTCTCAAATGTGCTCACCACTTGTTTTGTTGTTGATAACAGTGTATTCTACATGGAATTGGGTTGTTGTTAGCTGTGTGTCCAACCCCCAACCTAAAGAAATGGATTGCACTTTGTCAGACCTCTACCCTAAAACCTGTCCAACTTGGGTGTCCCACCTGAAGACTAAGCTCCTGCTGGTATAGCTCTTGGGGTCACTGAGGCACACAAACCCCCTGACCACAATAAGGTGGCAATCCCTCAGGGAGGAAAACTGAAAAATAAAATAAACAAAAAATTATATAAAAATTAAGAAAAAATAAAATAAAAATATCCTTCATCCAGGCACAACCAACATCTTAACATTTAT